AAGATATATAACAAGAAATCTCTTCGATACTATTTGAGTTTTGCATTCTAATAAGTAATGTAAATTTAATTATCTCGTTTTCCATTCCATTCACAATAGCAATCACATAACCAGCTTGGATGGCAACTGGGAGGCGCTGCACGATACGCTGCGCTCGCTTCACTTGTCCGGTAATGACATTACGGAAGTGTCGCCAGGTGGCGCTCTAGACTCTTCTCTCGGCTCAGGCGACAACAGTTCGCAGCCGAGCAGCTTGGCTGCCGTGCAGAACCGCGCGGAATCGGACAATGCGCTGCATACGCCTGGAACGAGTGGAATGGAACGGGCTGGCAGCGGTCGTCCGTTCGAGCAGCTGCAGAAGCTGCTGTGGCTCGATCTGTCTAATAATCGCATCACTCACGTGGCAGCCAATTACTTGCCCCGCTCGCTGGTGACCATGGACTTGTCCAGCAATCTGCTGAGCGTCTTTCCGCACCAGCTGTTCGAGCACCTGCCGGAGCTGCGCATCGTCAGCCTGCGGGACAATTTGCTGCGCAGCGTCCAGTGGAAGGAGCTGCAGCAGCGGCCGCTGCGCATGCACCTGGAGAAGCTCGATCTGGGGCAAAACTGCATCGAGCAGCTGGAGTCGGATTACTTTCAGCAAAACTATTCGGATGTGCACATCCGTGCGCTCAACATGGAGCAGAACTACATCGCTCACCTGCCCGCTGAGGTGTTCAAGGACACGGGCATTGTGCACCTTGTGCTGGCCTTCAATGCCATCAGTCGAGTGCATCCGGCCGCCTTTGAAGGTCTGACGGACACACTGGAGTATCTGGACCTGGAGCGGAATCATCTGACCACAGTGCCTGTGGCTATATCCACGCTGCATCGCTTGAGATATTTGTATCTGACCTCCAACCACATCAACCAGCTCAACAACTTGCCCACCTTCACCGAGAATCTGAAAGTGCTGAGCCTGAGCGGCAACAACTTCACGATGATTCCCGTTCTCGGCCTGAAGAACTACACACAGCTGTCCTATCTGAATATTGGCTACAATTCGATAGCCGACATACCCGAGGGCATCTTTGCCGTGGATGGGTGGGGGGCCAATTTGCAGACGATACTCCTCAGGAACAATAAGATAACGCATTTGCATCTGGGCTCGTTTGCGGGGCTGGAGCAGATACAGGAGATCAGTCTGAGCTTCAACGACATCACCATTCACCATCCGCTGGTGTTTGAGAATGTCTCGCATACGCTGAAAATACTGGAGCTCTCCTTTGCCGTATTTCCCGCCAGGAGCTTGGAGTCGCTGGATCCATTGGATGCACTGCTGCCGCTCTCGCAGCTCATTTGGCTCGGCCTGGACAATAACAATCTGAAGAGCATCTCGAACGAGTCGTTTGCCCAGATGCGAGAGCTGAGCTACATTAATCTGAGCTTCAATCAGCTGAAAGCACTGCCCCAGGGCCTCTTCCTGCCGGATGCGCACAGTCATCTGGTGGAGATTGAGCTCTCCTACAATGCCCTGGAGCGCCTGGAGCCACAAACGTTTCACAATTTGGGCGACCTGCAGACGCTGAACCTGCAATCGAATCGCTTGCGCAGCATTGCACGTCATGCATTTTACAATCTGGAATTCCTGCGCTACATAGACCTCTCGTATAATCGCCTGAGCAACATTTCCCATGCCGCCTTCACTGTCCTGCCCAATCTGGCGGCCTTGGATCTGATGCACAATCAGCTCTGCTCGCTATCCTTGAAGGCCTTTCACTACGTCTCGAATGCCACCACGCCGCTGAGGCTCAATCTGAGCCACAATCACATCTCGCACTTTGACGATGAGGTGAGCAGCTATATGTACATATACCAGCTGGACATCAGTCACAATCACGTGGCCAAGTCGGACAGCTTTACCAACTTGGCCAACACGCTGCGCTTCCTCAACTTGGCCCACAACATGTTGGGCGCACTGCAGAGCCACGCTTTCGGCGACCTCGAATTCCTGGAGATTCTCAATCTGTCACACAACAATCTCAGCTCGCTGCGACGTCGCAGCTTCCAGGGCCTAAACAGTCTCCAGGAGCTGGATCTCAGCCACAATCAGCTGGATCAGCTGCAGGTGGAGCAGTTCTCGAATTTGCGCAAATTGCGAATTCTGCGCATCTGCTCGAATCGGCTGCGCGCTCTGCCGCGCGAGGTGTTCATGAACACCCGTCTGGAGTTTCTGGACATATCCGATAATCAGCTGAGCATCTGGCCCGTGCCCGCCTTCACGGACGTCGGGTTCACGCTGCGCTCCATTCAGATGTCGCACAACAATCTCGAGTATCTGGACGCCTCGATGTTTGTCAACTCTCAGTTCCTTTACGACATAAGTTTGGCCCGCAATCGCATCACCATACTGCCGGACAACACCTTTAGTTTCCTCAACAATCTGACCAATCTGGATCTCTCCGAGAATCCGCTCGTCACGACCAATTTGCGTGAGGTGTTCGTGCACACGCCGCGCGTCCGCAAGCTAATACTCCATCACATGGGGCTCTATGTGCTGCCGGTGCTGAAGCTGCCGCTGCTCTCCTACCTGGACGTCAGCGGCAACTATTTGCAGGAGCTGTCGCCGCTCGGTGGGCTGCGGCATCTGCGCCACGTCAACGTCTCCCACAACAAGCTGATGAATGCCAGCTGCGCTGTGGAGCACTTGCCGCCCTCGGTGCGCGTGCTGGATCTCGCGCACAATCCGCTGCGCCGCATCACGCTGCACGATCTGCTCAGCCTGCGCCACTTGTCCGAGCTGAATCTGCTGGACGTGAAGGTGGCCAATCCGCAGGCCTTTGCCAAGCTGCGCTCGCTGCGCAAACTTCATGCCAGTTCGCATGCGAATCTGGGCGAGCTGGTGGCCCGGCTGCCGGGACTGCAGGAGCTGCGCGTCCACTGCCTGGAGCCCAACATCGGCGGCCAGCTGTTGGCCAAGCTGGCGAACAACACGAAGCTGCAGCTGGTGGAGCTCTATGGCAGCAATGTGCAGACCATCTCGCCCGATGCCTTCGTTGGGCTCGCGCGTAATCAGCGGCTGCGCGTGAAGATCTCGCACACGCGCATCTCCGATCTGCCGCCGGGCATCTTCTATACGCTGCGCGAGGTGCCCCACCTGTCCATCGACATCTCGCACAATCGCATCAATGCGCTGGCCGCCGACAGCTTCTACCCCAACAAGAGCTACTGGGATGCGGTGGGCACGCGCAGCATCATGGGCGGCCTCAACACCGCCCACAATCCCCTCGAGTGCGAGTGTGGTCTGGTCTGGTTCGGGCATTGGCTGCGCCGCTGGCTGCGGGAGTCGGCGCAGATCAAGGTCATCCAGAAGGATGATCTCAAGCGCATGGTGCAGGTGCGTCATCATCCCAATAAACCATTGCAAATAATAAACATAATTCTTGATCTATTTTTGATTTCTTTTCCAATTCATTTCTTCAAAAGCTACCCCTATCGGTTGCCGATATGCGCGTAAGCTTTTATTTCTTTTTATTTGATTAAGTTAACTTAACTTGGCTCAGAGCATTTGACTAACTCAAGACACACACACTTAGTAGACACTCAATTAAAAAGTCTCAGACTGCGATTCAACAATATGTCGAAAGTATTTCAAGTATTTCCAGCTTAATACGAAGGTAGCTGCTGCAAGCCGTCGTGGCACCTCGCATTTTCTTTTATTGTATTTCGACACTCAAAGTTTGAGTCTGAGTTTGAGTTAAAGTTGGAGTTTGAATTACAACTGTGCAACGCTGCGCTGATGCACTTGTAAATCACAAACGTTTTTGCACTGCAGAGATACTTTTGTATTGCGCGGCAACTTTTGCAGCAGCAAAGATAGTTTGCATTCACATGTGCCTCACACAGATACAGATACTTTTGTATCGCACAGATACCTCTACACGTCACAAATTGTGTACTTCACAGTTGCAATTGTATGGATACAGAGTTACAGTTGCATATACATATATCCCATACACAATCTTGTATCTCAATGAGACTCTTATATCTTAAATATGCTATTTTAAATTGCATATACTTTTGCATCTTAAAGTGCTTTTGTATCTTGCAATTACGTTTGGATCTCTCAGATACCTTTTTATCTTGCAGCTACTTTTGAATCTAACAGATACTTTTGAATATCACAGATACTTTTGTATCTTGCAGATAATATTTCCAGATACTTTCGTATTTTACAGATACTTCTGTATCTTACAGGAACTTTTGCACTTTACAGATAATTTAGTATCTTGCAGATACTCTTGCATCTTGCAGATACTATTGTATCTTACAGAACTTTTGTATTTCACGGATACTTTTGTATCTTGCAGATACTTTTGTATCTTGCAGATACTTTTGTATCTTG